ACATGACCCTCCATCCCTTGAATCTTGACATTTTTATTGACTTTTCCTCAAGCCTGGGATTCTCCTCATCTTTGTCTCCCAGCTTCCCTGGCTTATTTCAGGTTTCAGCTCAAGTCCTACTTTCTGCAAAAAGCCTCTCTTGATGCTCATGCATTCTTTCTGAGATTATTGCCGATTCACCCTCTGTGTATCTTGTTTTTACATAGTTGTTTACATGTAATCACCCCAATTAATCTGTGAGCTTATTGAGAGCAGGGACTGTTCTTTGCCTGTGTGTCTGTGTGTGTGTGTGTGTGTGTGTGTGTGTGTGTGTGTGTGTGTGTGTGGTGCTTAAAAAGGGTGTGTTGACTTGTTCAATTCCAGGCCCATGTCATTGTCCATTTGTAGTGTCTCATGTATACATACTTAAGGACAGACTCTATAGAGAGACATTGTATAGGCATTAATTGTACAGATGAGGAAAATGAGGCTGAGAGAGTTTAAGGGATTTGATATTGGATACACAGCAACTAAGTGGGTAAGGCAAATAATGAATTCATTGAGCTGACTGAAAGACTGATTTTCTTTTCCACTACCGATGTTTCTTCTAATCTAGTATGGGCTGGCAAATAAAATAACTTTATTAAAATTGATACACTGGAAAAAGATCTGGACTTGGAGGCAGAGGAGCTGAATTCAACTTCTGGTTTTTCCATTTACCCCCCCAAGGGTTTCACTGGGCAAGTCACTTACTCGACCTCCATTTCTTCATATGTAAAATGACCAGGATTGGATGGATGATTTGATCTCTGAGATATCATTTAGATAGTACCTTAGAGCCTCTAAAAATTATGTCTGACATACAAAATGAGTGAGGAAAGTTCTGAGGACTTCTGTGAATATAATGTACTGGTGCTTAGGGACATTTTATTTTTTGTTTCCTTCTGATTTTTTTAAGTCTGTTTCATATTATTTGAATTGGCCCAGTTTAATTCAGCAAACTTATGATATATATATCTACCATGTGTTAAAAAAAAAAACCTCTGGTTAAGTAAGACATTACTCTGTGGTTTTCTTATGCAAAGCTAAGACAGGATTCACATATTTTGCTTTACTTCCTGAAATGTCTTAGATACTGGTACTGATATATAATTTCAGAGTAGTTGATTTAAGTTCTTCATATTTGTGTGGATTTTTATTTAAAGGCCTCATCTGAAACTATGCCTTTCTTTGCATTTGTATGGCAGTTCTGAATGTTTGTTTTGTTCCAATAAATAAGCTGAAGTACTCAGTCTCTTTCAAACAGCGATAGAAAAGTTTGCGTCAAAGGTTGTGGTTTTATCCATGATTCAGTGAGCCAAAAAAGATAGAAACTTTTCTACTGCTAATATTTCTTGTAGTGGGGTCTGACAAACTGCCATGGTAGTGATGATGATGAAAACAGGAGACCCTAGCATCTAGGAAAATTTCAATTCACCTTGAGATGTATTAAGTACCATAGATGTTTAAGGCATAATTCTAGGTACTAGAGATACAAAGATGAGTCAAATGTAGGGATGAGACATGTACCTAGTAAGTATCATGTAGAGTAGACAGTGATTTGGGCGAAGTAGAAGTTTAAACCACATACTCTAAGAAATATGAGGAGGGACACCACATTCCAGCTTGAGAGATCAGGAAAAACAGTGTGAGAGATGTTATTTTAACTGGACTTTCAAGGAAGAGTTGGATTTCATAAGGCAAACATGAGGAAGAGAGTACATCCCCAGTCATGTAGGAAGTCACTTGAGTGACTACACAGGAATAAGAGTGAGCAGGTCAAATTCAGCCTTAGTTGGAATGTAGAGTACATGACAAGAATTGAGTGAAATAAGGCTGAAAAGGTAGATTGAAAGCAGAATGTTGAAGGCTTTAAGTCTCAAGGTAAGGAGTTAATATTTTATATTATACATAACCATGTTTTTGATGAGGGGAGTGACGTTATTTTGGCAACTTTGTGAAGGATAGGTTGGAGAAGGAATAGACTAATAACTATCAGTAGGGTTACAATAGGCATTACAGTAGGCCTATTTTAGGACTAAAAGGCTGAAAATAAGGACTGGTTGTGAGAAACATTGGTGGAGATGGATTCAACAGAATTTGGCAATTGATGAGGTGTGTGGGTGAGGGAAAAAAGGGGAAGAGTCAACAATACTAAAATTTTTAACCAAGTAATTAGTAACATGATGCTGCCAAGAGAAATAGAGAACTTGAGGAGATATTCAGATTTTAGAGGGGAAATGGTGCATTCAGATTATGGACATGTTAAGTTTGAAATGTCGGTAGGACATCTAATCAGTATCCAGTAGGTACTTGGAAATGTGGGACTCAGAGATTAAAGTTGGATTTGTTAATCTGATAGTCTTCTACATAAAAAATGATTATTGAAAGTATGAAAATAGATGACATCATCAAGGAAAAGAACACAGAGAGAAGAGGGTTGAATATATACACTTAGGGATTATATTTGGTCCATAAAAATCTGGCTTCTTGGTAGGTTCAGAGCTAGGTCTACAGAGGAGTGGCAGTGAGGATGGAATATTCCTGCTTGTATAAAGGCAGGTAGGATGATGCAGAAAACCAAGACCTGGAATCAAGTGAACAAACCAAGCGGCTCAAAGGAAGAACAGATGGAAAGCAGTGTCAGAGAGAGGAATAAGACTAAAACCACTAACTCTCAGCACAGTCCAAGAAAAAGGACTGGCAAGAGATAAGACTGAAGGTTTTAGGCTGCAGGAATTCAGTGCTTAATATCCAAAGGAGTAAGGTCAGTCAAAAAATATGAGTTCAACTTACCACAATTAAAGGCAGAAGAGAAATTAGGAATTTTCAACTCTGGCCACTGCTATTTAATCCCATTTACCTGATGAATCCCAATGGGATTTTGAGGGTTGTAGACAGGGGTTAAAGAAAAAGGAAGTGAGGGGCAGCTAGGTGGCGCAATGGGTAGAACACCAGCCCTAGAGTCAGGAGGACCTGAGTTCAAATCAGGTCTCAGACACTTGACACTTGCTAGCTGTGTGACCCTGGGCAAGTCACTTAACCCCAATTGCCTCACCAAAAAAAAAAAGAAAGAAAGAAAAAGAAAAAAAAAAGAAAAGAAAAGGAAGTGAACTAGGAAAAATGATTGAGGAGTAGTCAGACAAGTAGGAGGAGAACCAGGAAAGAATAGTATCATGGAAGCCAAAGGAAGAGAAACTGTCAAGGTGAAGATTGAGAACATGAGTCCTGATCAGGTTCTGTCTTTGGATTAAGCAACTGAGGTCACTGGATATCTTAAAGTTAGGAGTTTTTATTAAATGGTGGGTTCTGAAGCCCTTGCAGGGTTAAAACAAGTACATGTTGAGGAAATGAAAGCAGCAGATCACTTGGATTATTGTTTCTGGAAGTCTAACAGTAAGAAGAGGAGAGATATAAGATATTCAAATGGATTCCCAGATCAGAAAGTGTTGTGTGTGCACATATATGTGCGTGTGTTAGCACAGAAGAAACCTCACAATATTTAGGCAAGTCACAAAAAAGATTGTGAAGAAAAGAGGGAGAGAGAGAGAGAGAGAGAGAGAGAGAGAGAGAGAGAGAGAGAGAGAGAGAGAGAGAGAGAAATAATGATGAATGGTTTGAGGTTTTGTAAAATAACAAGATATGGAATCAAGGGTACAAACGGATGGTCTGGTCTTGGCAAGGAAGAGGGCCCACCTCATCCTCTGGAGTGAAAGAGAAGAGGATAGATAAGGATATAGATAAGTTTTCGTGTGGAAGATGGGAAATGAAGGAACAGATGATGTGTGACTGCTGCTTTTTGTATGATCTTTAGTAGGTTATTCATAAGGATGACATAATAAGGAACAAAGGAGTAGAGAAGAGTGACGATGAGAGAGATACAGAGAGATAGAAAATGGCTTGTGCTTTGAATGAACCAATGAGGAAACAATCGAAATAAATATGGGGATAAGATTAAATTACTCTCATCAGCTCCTCTTTACAAATAAGCATGTTAAGAATATAGAACAGATGCTTTGACTGTAATACTCCTTTTTTCTCCCCTTACTGTGGCCAGAAATGAATGTTGAACTGATATAAGCCATTCAGTAGCTCTTATTTTTATGACTCAAAGCTGGGAAAACCTGCCTGTGTCATTTAAAAACAAAACAAAACAGCAGAGCACTTAATCCTTTAAATGAGCTTATTATTAGTTTGATATTAAAAGCTTCTGATTAATTTGCTTTAAATTTATGACAAAGCTAAATAAGACTATCAACTCTAAGTTAAATTTCAAATGCCTGAACCCAGTAAATAATGCCAGCTTGTGCATTTTCAGTGAATTACAGCCTTTAAACATCAATGTAATCTGTCTCATATTATTTGCACATTTAGAAGTTGTTTTTTTTAACTGATGTAGTACAACCAGATCTCTATAAGTAATTCTAATTAAATGTGTTGAGATTTGGGATTCCTATGAACAAGCATTATTGTAGCTAGAAACACAGTAAATTAAAACTAAATGCATGATCTCATCTCTTTCTTGTTTTGTACAATAATATAACTTGCATCAAAAGAGACTATTAAAAGATGTTCCTGCAATAAATTTGTTTAATATGGTTTTGCTATTAATCCTTTTAAGCTTGAGAATTGTGTTAAAATACTCTGAAGTAAATGCTGCCTGGAAAATTATTCTGGTAGAAATAAAAGGAGAAAATGTCCTTTGTTAATTGGTGCTATTTGTTTTTCCCTGAAAAAGATTATCTGCCTATAGAGGAGAAGAAAAAAAAACACTATAGAGATAAACTCACTTCTTGCATTTTAAATGTGCTCTGTATGTAGTTTCTTTTTTGAATGTACAGTGAGCAAGAAAAATCAACTGCTGTCCCTTTAATATAGGAGCTATGCACATTACAATAGGTGTCACTGTGTTTCTTGGTCCAATCATTGTCGGTGACTTCAGCTATTGGCTCAAAGCACTGGCTGTCTGACTCCATCTGCAGGGCTGTAATACCTACTCTCGTCGGATCCATTCAACACACAACTTCAGCCAGCTGAACAGACTCACACTGCTACAGCAAGCACATCTTGCTAACCTAATTCAGAAAACAAGTGCTACAGCTCTATGAATATCTTCTTTGCACAGTGTAGCATTTTCAGGTGATCTGGGAAACTGAGAAAGGCTCTTAGAAGCAAATAAAAGAATCAAGAATCATAATGGAGATATATTTAACAAATCAAGTACTGGATCAAACTTAAAGCCAGTTTCTTATTCATCATAGTGAAAAGGTCACCTTGCCTCGCTGGAAGAGAAGCAGAATATCAGCTTTGTTGCATACTTTCAAATTCTTGGCATCCATTCTATTTTTCTTAATGATTTTACCTATGTAGGCTATATAGCTACACAGACAGACATACGGTCCTCATGGTAGATGACAAGGGAAAGAACATGAAATGTCTCACCTTTTTTTTGATGCTTCCAGAAACTGTCAAGAACAGGTCCAAGAAAAGCTCCAAGAAGGCAAATACCAGCAACAGCAGCAAGTTGCCACCAGTTTGCTATGAAATCATTACCTTGAAGACCAAAAAAAAGAAGAAGATGGCTGCTGATATTTTTCCCCGTAAGAAGCCAGCCAACTCCGGTACAACTACTGTCCAGCAGTACCACCAGCAGAATCTCAATAACAATAATACTATCCCGGCCCCTAATTGGCAAGGGCTTTACCCCACCATCAGAGAAAGGTAAGTACACAGACCATTCTGTTTACTTTAAAAGTTTATATTCATTTGAAGTTTTTACTTTTGTACATCCTGCAACTTGTTTTTAACTCAAATGTGTTTCCTATCTTATTTAGAAGCTTTGTTGGTAATGAAAATGTGTCTCATATCTTTTCCAAATAGTACAGCTGTTTTCCTCTAAGATAAAAATGTTTTTGCAAGCTGTAATATTTAACTCATGTAGTTGTGCCCATGAGACATGCATAGTTAAATTCTTAGATAATGGGAACTTTTTACTCTATAAAAAGCTTGGATGAGTTTTTTGTTTTAGTTCACAAACATTTTTAGTGATTACAAGCACGATTATGTATTTTAGAATCTGTGTTGATTATTTTACCTTGAAGTAACTGAAATATTGCTTGCCTTTTCAATCTTTGTGGCCAGTGGGAGTGTGGACCAGGTGTATAAAAAATGCTGGATGCTGTGAATTAATAAACTGCCTCTGTTTGTAGAAATGCGGTGATGTTCAACAATGATTTGATGGCAGATGTTCATTTTGTGGTTGGGCCACCAGGTGGGACACAGCGGTTGCCAGGACACAAAGTAAGCAACAGCTGCATTATCAGTTTCGACCTGGGAATAACAAAGAGGAAACTTTTAACTATTAGGCTGAGACTTACTGTGAACAGATTTCCTTTGACAGGCACTACATGGTTGGTTGTGTCTTAGATTTATTTATTTAGAGGATTGGGGAGTAACATATCAGGGAAGGAACTGCTTAATAAGTCTTTCTTTGCCCCCATTTATCCGTTTCTATAACCCTTGCAAATATATGCACACTCTTGAAGTTCCAGTCATATGATAAAATCTGTTGTGACTGGAAGTTGCTATGACAGGCTGGCAAAGTAGTGTGTGTTTACCACTCTCTGAGAGTTGGTTTGTTAGATAAGATTTTTCTGTGGGTGCCAGTTCAGCAGTCACTTTTAAGCATTTGGGCAACTAATATAGTAACTTAAAGGCTATTTTTACATCTAGGATTTATATTACTGCTGTAAGATTTTAGTGTTTTTGCTTTTTCAGATGAGCTGGTGTTGGTGCTATGTAGCCATTAAAGCTGAATGTTCATAGTAACTCTCCTGGGTAGTTTTTTTGTTCAAAGTGCTTTCAATTTAGGGCATGAAATAAGATTTCCCTTTCTCCACAGTATGTTTTAGCTGTTGGGAGCTCTGTATTCCATGCAATGTTTTATGGAGAGCTTGCTGAGGACAAAGATGAAATCCGTATACCAGATGTCGAACCTGCTGCTTTTCTCGCTATGCTGAAGTAAGCATCATTTATGTGTTGGAAAAGGATTGTTCATGCTGTATGGTTACTCTGCTAGTGACACAGTTAAAATGTGAGTTAGATTTTAACATCAACAGAATCATGAATAGAAAAAGAGTTTGCTTTTTTTGATATTTACCTTTAATACCCAAAAAGGACTCCACATGATTACGTTTAAAAGCACATTGTACAATACAAACTTCTTAATTGAAAAACTTATCATGTGGTCTTTGGACATGTGGCTCTGATTTGATTTTTAACTCAATATCCATAAAATAATAGATCTGGTTAATTTAAGCATTAACCTAAAAAAAATACTTCTTTAATGGAAAGAACTGGGAGTGAGGAGACCTGGGTTCTGGTCCGGATATGTTACTAATTAATGATATGATCTTGAGTAAGTCACTCAGTCTTTCTGGGCCTTCCTTAGTTTCCCCAACTATAAAATAAGGGGTTTGAAATGGATGATTTTTGTGGACTCTAAAAATCAATGATATTTTAAGATAGTTCAAGAAGTTTTTTAAACAGACATTACCTAGAATATCTAGCAGATTTAAAGCAATAATAGAGAGAACTACAGCATTATTTTATTTATCATCAATTCCTTAATTTATATGCTGACTGCTTTTAGCCATTTAATCTTACATAATTCTGAAAGTCTAGTGCCCATAGATATGTCGTTATTTTTAAGCTAAATTTATATTTTGAACTCATTTCCTTAGAAGACAGAGCACAAAAAATTTCAGTGTTTTCTAAGAATTGTCATTTTAGGATATCACCAAGATCTGGAACTTGAGCTACCTTTTGAAATAAACTGATATTCATTTTATGCTATTTTTTCTTTGATTCCAACCTACACTTTCAGCAGTATGGAGAACTCCTGGTATAGAAACTCCTTCCACCAATGAACATCAACAGCTTGTCTCTAACTTATAGTCTTGGGTTAAATGACTTGCCAGTAGTTATATATTTAGTATGTGTCAGAGGCAAGAGTTGAGCCCAGGTCTTCTAAGGTTCCCAGAAAGACCATTTTTTTTTTAAATATGGAAATTACAATATAGAAACAAAGAATTACACAGTGTTGTTGTTGTTGTTTTTTCCTTTCTTTCTGTGTTTATTAAAGAGTCATTTGGTATGTAATGAGCACTAGTATCTCCCAGAATTATGTGAACATTAAGCAGTTAAAAATAATCAGCCTGTGTAGCATGGTACTAATGCTGTGTAATATAATGCTGTAGTTCTCAATTAGTGCCTTTTAATCCATTAGTCATCCTAAATAATGCTTGTCAAATATCTTTTCTTAACCTTTAGTATACCACAATATAATAAACAGAGCTAAAGATAAAGTATTGCTGCAGGGATTTCAGTTCATTGGAATCAAAAGCATACATGTTGACAACTATTCACTGATTTATTGTGCATCTAATCCACCACATTCTGTTTTGATTCCATGAATAGCTAAAAATAAATGTTATATTTTACATAGTATCTACTGAAAATAGAAATATTTTTGATATCTCTGAAACTTGTACTTGAAAGTATTTAGTTTCTCATTTCAGCTGTGGTTTGAAAGCCTGCTAAATTTTGGAAGCTGACTAGTGCTGCTGAATATAACTTTAATGTTAGTACAGTGAAATTAGATGCATAGGTGAACACATAGCTTCAAAACTTAATAAAACAGCCATTTCTTTATTCCCTTTGCAGTTGTTTTAGATATGTCCATGTGAAGAAAAAATAAATTTCACCTTCAGATTATTTCTGCAGTGAAGTTCCAGTCTCTTATGTTTGACATTGCCTTCTATTACTGAAGAAAATAGTATGCCATTAATTCAGCATTCTGGCTTAACTGCAGAATCAAGTAACACATTTGGATCAGTAGATATCTTCAGCAGTTAGAGAATATGACAAGGAAAAGCAAAGACAAAAGAAACATATTGAATGTAGCTTATGTAACATATATAATGAGATTCTGTATAAAACCACAAATTTTGTCTTTTCTTTAAAAAGTTGTAGTAATCATTTGTGCTTCAAGATTGAACTTCTTATAAATATATATATATATATATATCAACATCTAAGGAAGTTGATTTATTTATAGTTTTTTAATGAGCATATTCAGTTTTCTGTCAGATTGTAAAATATGGGCTTGTACCGTATAATGCCAATATAGTTGATATGTTATTTTGCTAAAGTCAAGGGAAATGAAACCCAGAAGACAATTGCTACTCTCTATCTTTGTAGTCAGTAGCATATCATATTCACCATGGCTGGTCTCAGATTGGGAGACTTGATAGTGATATTAAGGAGGAATTAGTAAGTGTTGACCATACTGTATGGGGATATCAGCATTTCCTCATTCTTCTGTTGAAAGGGGAAGTGGAAAAAGAATAGACATCTGTATAGTGCCTACTGTGTGCGAGGCACTGTACTAAGTGTTATACATATATTATCTCATTTGAGATAGTGTTTATGACAGCTTTGTGAGATTGGAGCTGTTATTATACCCATTTTACAGTTGAGGAAACTGAGGCAGAGGTTAAGTGATTTGCGCAGGGTCACACAACTAGTAAGTGTTAGAAGCTGGATTTGAACTCAAGTGGACCTGACTCCAGGCTCAGCGTACGATCTCCGCTGCGCCACCTAATTGCATTCAACTGATGTTGACACATCAGTACCTCACTAGTCCTTTGTCATGCACAGCAATTGGTACATTTATTAGATATATTAGTCTAGACTTGATCCCTGGTAATAAAAGATCAAGGTTATGATTTTGGTTATAAAACTTCACTTGTCAACTACCATCCTTGTTTCTCACTGAGGGTGGATCTCACTTTTTGAGTTATGTTTTTCATGAGATTGAATCATAATAGGAAAACCAAAGCAACCTTCAGAAATTCCATGCTTTCAACAGAGGGGTTCCCAAAGCAGGTAGCTATCCCATAATAGTTAAAGCCATTTCATTTAAATATCTTTTTTGTCAATGTTTATCTTTCCATCCATGTAAGTTTATTTTTTTAGCTAAGCAATGGGGTTAAGTGACTTGCCCAGGGTCACACAGCTAGTAAGTATAAATTTCTCAATGATTTAAAAGTACTTCAGCCAAAAAGGGACTGAAAAAATATAATGGATATTACTTGTTTATTTATTTTGTTTTGAGGGTGGGAAATAGTGAGCTGATCAGGGGGAGTTTTTGGAGATCATTTGTGGACTGTTCTGTTATATTAAACACAAGGGGCAGAAGATAGGTTCAAAGTCTGACATTGTTTCCAAAGTGTGCCCCAATTCTAGGTCATTCTCTGCTTCTAGAGTCAGAGGATCTGGGCTCAAATCTTGCCTTTGTTGCTTACTGCCTGTGTGATGTTGGCCAAGTGAATTAACCTTCCCGTCCCTCAGTTTCCACATCTGTAAAATAAGGGGTTAGACTTGATGGTTGTTTTCCATTTTTGCCTCTCATGTACCTTTCAGGTCTGAATCTATGATCCTGCAATCCTTAAACTATGATTCTAAGCTCCTTGAAGGTATTTCTAGAAATGACAGTGGAAGGTTCACAGTAGAACAGAAATGTGTGCAGACTTGAGTTGGGCTTTCCTTCACATTAAAAACATAATAAAGTTTGTCAATAATATGCTACTTATTTTTAAATTTGGAAGGAATACATATAAATGTATTTATGTAATTATTCCAGACTCTTGACAACTTAAGGAAACTTCACCCAAGTTGATAGCTTTGGTTAACTGCCAGTTTGAGTTAAATATAGACCCCTTTTCATCATTCACTGGTCCTAGAACTACCTGAATTATTTTCTGTATAAAAATCACACCTTTTCAGGAAAATCTCAGAGATTTTTTTTTAAATTAGGATACGTAAATAAGATAAGCCTCTTTGTAAATGGGAGGCATTTTCTTTTCACTTTTCAATGATTGTACAGTGTATTTCCACAAAAGAAAACTGAAATTCTCTACTGAAATATAGTGGCTGTTTACATTTGCATAGCATTTTGTGGTTACAAAGTATTTCATGTACATTATCTAATTTATAATCACAAACTCTACTTGTGCAAGGCAAGTAGGGCAAAGATTTATTAGATATGCAGAATCATAGAATTTCAGAGTTGGAAGAAACCTCACAGACCACCTGGTTCAAGCTACATCTGATTAAAAATCCCACATATAACAGACTTTACAAATGGCCATTTGGCCTTTGCGTGACACCCCCCAGTAAGGTCAAAACAACTACATCCGAAAGCACCTTATATCAGTATGTAGAATGAGCTTCTACTTTCTAATTTTTAGAATGTTTTCACTTGTGATCCTAAGTCTACCTCAGCCATTTCCATCAATTTCTCCTATTTCTGTCCTCTTGGGTAAGCAGAAACAAAATAAGACCTCTTTCACATATTCTCCTGTACAATAATTGAAGACAACCACCCTGTCCTCTGGGTCTTCTCTTTTACAATCTAAACCAACTTTTTCCAGCTGATTCTCATGCTGCCTGATGTCAAAGTTCTTCACTGTCCTGGGCACCTTTCCCTTATGTTCTGCAGTGTTCTCACCCTTGTCAGTGTCCTTTCCAAAATAGGACACCCCCAAACTAAATGTAGTACTTCAGATGCAGCCTGCCCAGTAGAGTACACACTCTGCCAAGCACAGAGATTGTTCATTTTTGTCTCTCCACAATTTTCAGCATTGCATTATTTTGTCTCTGCTGCTGATAGCATCTTAGAAAAACCTCATGTAGTAATTAAGAAATTTCTCATGATGCTGTATGCAAAGATTTCTCCATAAAATAATTCCAAGAGCCTTTTCCCCTTACCTAACATAAACTTTCTTATGAAATAAGAAGAAAATTTTGAAGGGAAACTCATATGTTCGATAAACACAGAATTATTACCTTCTTTATACTTCAATAACCATATATGCACAATGTTTAGTCTCTGAATTGTATTAGACTAATACTTGATGGAGGTTGATTCAGAGGATCTGACAGGCCCATTGTAAACATCTCTCTGAGACGGGCTGTTTGTTTCACCTTTTTATCTAAGTATCATTTTCTCAAGTATCAGTTAGTACCCAATACCTTGTTTCCATTTTGCAAAAGATCTCCTCTTTAATAAATCCTCCTCATTTGTAATATATGTTAATGTTATAAAAGATCCTTATATAGTGAAAATCAGTGCTTACCATCCTATAATAATGTTTTTAATATTCCTGTCATGCTAGCCAATTTTGAGTAGTCCTTCCATATAAAGATTCTGTTTTCCTTACACTAGGAAAACTCTCAGGCTATTTATGCTTCGTTTCTATTCATGTTTGCATGATGTTTTTTACATTTGAACTTTTACTTTTTTTATTGGTATTTTATTCCTCATTTTTCTGATTGTCACCTGCCGTCTAATACTGAAAATACCCTTTACTACATTTTCAAAGATAATCCAAGGTTGGAAAAAACCTTAGATATCGAACTCCTGCTCTTGGGTTGTTTTGGGGTCCGTACTCATATATTTCAGTAAGAGTAACTTACTGAGTTACACACTTTGCTTAAATCTCTGTGATTGATATACTGTAGGTCTAACTTGCACCTTGTTGCTTTTTCTGGTGCCGATTCTGTTGGGTTCTGCTGAAGTCCCATTTACACATTTGTGTCTTGTTTCAGATACATCTATTGCGATGAAATTGACTTGGCTGCTGACACAGTGCTCGCTACCCTGTATGCTGCCAAAAAGTACATTGTCCCTCACCTCGCTCGTGCCTGCGTCAATTTCCTAGAGACCAGTCTGAGTGCGAAGAACGCTTGTGTGCTGCTTTCCCAGAGCTGCCTCTTTGAAGAGCCCGACCTGACCCAGCGTTGCTGGGAGGTGATCGATGCCCAGGCTGAGCTAGCACTTAAGTCTGAGGGATTCTGTGATATTGATTTCCAAACATTAGAGAGTATCCTCCGCAGGGAGACCCTGAATGCCAAAGAGATTGTTGTTTTTGAGGCTGCTCTCAATTGGGCTGAAGTTGAGTGTCAGCGCCAAGAGCTGTCACTGAGCATTGAAAATAAACGGAAGGTCCTCGGAAAGGCGCTGTACTTGATCCGAATTCCCACCATGGCCCTTGATGACTTTGCAAATGGTGCCGCCCAGTCTGGAGTTTTGACTCTGAATGAGACCAATGATATCTTTCTTTGGTACACAGCAGCCAAAAAGCCTGAGCTGGAGTTTGTGAGCAATGCCCGCAAGGGTCTTGTCCCGCAGCGCTGCCACCGCTTCCAGTCCTGTGCCTACCGGAGCAACCAGTGGCGGTACCGGGGTCGGTGTGACAGCATTCAGTTTGCTGTGGACAAAAGGGTCTTCATCGCCGGCTTTGGCCTCTACGGCTCCAGTTGTGGTTCAGCAGAATACAGTGCCAAGATCGAACTCAAACGCCAGGGTGTCATCCTGGGACAGAACTTGAGCAAGTATTTCTCAGATGGATCCAGCAACACTTTCCCAGTGTGGTTTGAGTATCCTGTGCAGATTGAGCCAGACACCTTTTACACAGCCAGTGTGATTTTGGATGGCAATGAGCTGAGCTACTTTGGACAGGAAGGAATGACAGAGGTTCAGTGTGGCAAAGTGACTGTCCAGTTTCAGTGCTCTTCAGACAGTACCAATGGTACTGGTGTGCAGGGAGGACAAATTCCTGAACTTATATTTTATGCTTAAAAAATCATTTCCAAAAGAAAATGTGATCTGTGAAGTGCATATCTGGTTCAGACATGTTGATGCTTTGCTTATCTGCAGATAGGTGATCAGTACAGGTAATTGTAATTAATAATGCTATGGGCAGTTCATAATTACTTTTTAGCCTACAATGCAGCTTTACACAACTAACTAGATGCTCAAAAGAGCCAAGTTCTGATTAAGGCTATGTTATTTTAAGAGTTGCGTCTATATACTAAGAAAAATTGTGTACATTTTCTTTACTAGTTTTGTCTAGTTAACAGCCTTTCTATAATTGTCTTAAATTTCCCTTTGGGCTTTATTTTGATCATAGTGTAAATATGTAGTATAAAAAAAGGGTGAGGGGTTATTTTATTTTTAAAACTCAAGAAAAAATTGACTAGTTTGGAAGGAAGTTCTTTTACCTACAAGTAGTAGTTTTGAGTTTGGTTGAATATATAGCAAGGGGTAATAATCACTTTTAACTTTTATTCCTTTTCTCTGCTTTTCAGCTTTTGCTTTGTACTTGCTACGTGAATTAATTGGACTGGTACATGTTAAGCTAAAGGTAGCAATTTCCCTGGAGGTGTCAATGAAAAATTGAAAGGCTGGATTTTTTTAAAGGAACTCCTTGAGAACAATTAACTTATTTTTCTTTAATCTAGAAGGACAGAATTTTGAAGCATATGTATTTCTTTTGGAAGTAACTTCAAAATCATAGTATTCGTTCATAACAGAAAAGGGCTGCAGGCTTGTCACTTATTCGAAAGAAGAGGAATCTTAAAGTTACAAAATTGATGACATGTTAAAATTCACAATTTGGAGGGAAAAAAAAAGCTAGAGCTTTTCCCACTATATAGCTCTTCATACAAAATAGTTGCTTGTCTAGATCATTTACTATACACTATTATCATTCCATATTCTCCCTTAAAAGAGGGCCATATAATTGTTTAGATTGGTTGAATGCCAATTAGTTAACAGAGCACTGCATAGAACAGTAAGGTTTACTTCGTTTTACCTAATATATGCTTTGAACATATGATAATAGATCCATCAGTGATAAATTCTTTAAAATTCCTAGATGTCTAGAATAGTGCCCTCTGGCCACCCTAAAGTGGCATTATATACCTGCAGAAAATAGAATATGGTCTGGAGGGATTAAAGTAGATTATACTTAATATCCAAAATATCAGCATTGTATCAGGCTTTCTCATGTGCTCTCTGCACAACATAAAAAAAGGGAATATCTGCTTTACAAGAAATAATCTCCCTTATAAGATGATTTGTGGCAGTTTGGTACCTACATTATTGGTAATGTTCAATACAGTTGACCTCCTGACTATTTGCATGTGAATTATCCATGCACTCCTGGGTTGCTTTCCTGCCCAGTATGATCCTGAGATGGCTTCCCCCCCGCCACCCAGAGTGCGGCTTTTGGCTGCCTCCTTCCCCTTGCTCAGCACAGTCCTAGACTGGCTTTTTGAAGCTAGGGGTTAGTATTGGGGTGTGTGCGCGTGTGTGTGTTTGCACACTCAGGAATTTACTTCTTTCCCTGTCTGCCAGCTAGGCAGTGGAACAGAAATTATTCCTCCGTTCAGCCTAGTATGGTCCTAGGCAGTTTTCCTTTACCCTCTTTAATGTGCTACCAGGCCACTTTCTTCCCTCTACCTAATAAAAAGCAGGGATGGCTTTCTCATTACCTAATCTAATAGAGGGGACAGTGAATTGTCTGAGATTTCAGAATCTTCTGCGCTGCTGTCCCCATCCGTACAATCAAGAGTTTCTGTCACTGGTAATTAGAGAATACCCCCAGGACAGCTTTCCAAGAGCTTTAACAATAATATGATATTGTAGAGATTGTGGATAGGGAGAAGAGCCAAACTACTAATGAAATAAAGGTAAATATTCCCTAGAAAACTACTGCAGATTATTCTTTATATAGTTAAAATTGCCTGTTATTCTTTGCCACCACAAAACAAGTACCAAAAAAATGAGCCTGATTAGGCTTCGTGTATTCTTTTATAAACAGCAAAGTATTAGAAATTAGGAAAATGGCATTGCACCAAGTAGTTGAGGTAGAGGTGATGACCTTATTCTGATGTACACTCAGTTCAGTGAGTCACTGTCCATGCTGTTCTTAAATAGCGATATTCTTGGTGGTTTAAGAATTAAGATGATGACAGCCAGCTAGAATAATGCCCCTTTTATGTCTGCCAGTAAACTCATTCTCGTTTTACATTTACCTTCCATTCCTTTTTTAAAGTGCTGGTCTACCATGTGATGAGGTTAGGCAGATATTCTTGAGTTAAAGTTGGATACCCTACTTACAGTGGAAAACTTGATTTTAAATCTGTTACCCCTTCAATATTTTAGACAAAGTGGAATGAAAACTGATGTGCTTGCTTTAGCTTTTCTGAATATATTCTTGGTAGTTATAGGTTATGAAACTAGACCATATTTCTAACAAACCAGGCAACTTTGGTATATAAACACAACTTCAATAAACAGAACATGCTGTAGATGCTATTTTTAAATGTACCTGCAGTCTTTGTATTTCAATGTTAATTCTGAGGATAGAAGGAAACTAGGATAGCATTCTAATGTAACATTCTTTATATCTTAAATAGTATTTAAGTAAATGGTTTAATTTCTACATAATTATTGCACTGAATTTTTTTAAGTTGCTTAAGCTAAGCTAATTTCAGATCACAGCAGCCAGTTGTGCTTCAGGGTGCTTGAATTTAGCAGGCTTATAGCATTATTTATGAAGGACAAATATATAAATATGAAGTACCTCATGTTGAATGTTTATTGTACTGTATCTTTAATGTAACAGTGCAGATCTTGTTAGACACATGAATGTGTATAATCATGTTAAATACAAATAAACATAAAACTGGTTCATAGAGTTGCTTTCTTCAGTATTTTTTAAGTGCTTGTGAAATAAGCAGGAGCAGTGTCTACTTTTAACACTTTTCATTTATATAAATATTTCTATAGGATCACTTGTTTTGCTCAGTTTTTAAGTTATCTTAGATCATCGAAGAAGGAACAAATCTGAGACAGAATCCTTCAGGAACAATAAATATAATAATGACATTAAAAGCTGACTATTATGTAATGAGATGAAATACATGGATGCATATATATCTATTCCTTTTATTAAATTCCTTATTGGCTGACATTTTGGTACTATAGCTTCAGAAATTTTTTGTGAATCCTGCCAAACTAGGAAAACAAATGCATTGTGCTTAGGCTAAGTGACATCTAGTATTAGACATGAACATGCTTCTGGTCCCTGTTATGCCAAGCCAGGAAATATTTCAATATTGAATATCATATTATAAGTGAGAAGATAAACATTTTTACTAGATCAGCTGAATTGTTTTCTACTTTGTGTTCCTTTGTCAAATTAAGATCATAACTTCTGTGCATCTTTCTGCTACTTTTCAACTAAAGAGTTTATTGTGGAAGCCTCTACGTATTCACTGACCCAGTTCATCTATTCATAATTCATCTTTCTGAAGCAAACATGCTATAAAAAGGATTATTGGAAATATTCCAAAGGAAAAGAGCTGTCTTCTCTCTTCATGTTAATCCCAGATACAACTTGCATTACAAAAAAAAAATCTTTATCCATGAATGTCTTAGTTGTTACCTCCATTATGATCTACTTTAAAGCATGTAAATTCCTCACCATTGACTGATGTCTGTTGTAGTGAACTTATCTGCCTTCTTTTTTGTTATTTGTGAACCAACTGGTTATTAGAATTATTTTTTCTTTGCTGGTGAATGTAGAAAGATGGTGCTAAAATTGCTTGCCTGATATTGACAGAGTCAAGAGGGGCTCCCCCAGTTAACATGTATTAAGCATCTACTGTATGCTGGATACTGCACTAGATACTGGTTGGCATGGAGACCAGAATATCCAAGAAAGAGCCACTGAAGATGCTTTATAAATATGATTTATTTGGCCTTTGTTGTATTGTTTTAAATTATTTAAAAAGTATAAAATTCTTATTTGTAATACCTTAACGAGAACAGCACTTAAAATTTCTAGTTAATTTTTTTAAAATTTTGGTCAAGTAATCTTTATTGGAAACCTATTTTGTATATACATAATTACCTGTTATCTCATATGAAATAGATGTATTATAAAGAAGGTTGGCTATAAAGCACAATTTCATAACATATTTTTATTAACCTCTCATTAAGATCAAAGATGTATTTCTATGGGGAAAAAACTATTCCTATTAAGTTGGACTGGAATTTTTTTTGTTGAGAAAGATTAAAATGACGACTTACCCTATAGGTCTACTGGGTATTGTAGTAAACCAGCGCTTCTTTGCTTTCTGGGAATATCTGGAAGCACTTTGCAGCAGTTTTCTATTTGGGTAATCTTTTCGCTGCCGTTGACCCTTAACATTATCTGTTACCCTGGACTCATAGGATTTCATTTGGATTTCACATTTGTGATTTCTGGGACTTAGTTCCAGGCACATAGTAGGCACTTAGAAAGTTGTCAATGTTTGGCAAATTGAATTATCATTCCCACACTTTCTTATGGTATTTATGATGTATAGTAGTGGTGGGCTAACTTATTACATTTCAGTAATAAATGCAAATTTTTATTAATTACTGCACAAGATATACTCAAGGCAAAAAAAAATCTTGAACATTGAAAATGCAAAGAAAAACTTCCTTATTTTGTCAAGTTTATGTATAACTATTAAAGTATCAATATTAGAGTTCTGTATATGAAGTTTTTTAAATGGTAACCAGTACTAGTGACATTTAAACACTAACTTACCACTTAAAAATAGACTTCCTAGAATTTTAGAGTTGGAAGGGACCACAGAGATAATTTGTTTCCTCTCTTCTATCTGTCTTATTTTATAATTGAAGAATCTGAGACTCAGGCACAGGTGAAGTAACTTTGCCTGAGGCCACATAGTTACATACATATTGTTAGAGCTCCTGGAATCCAGGTCTCTTGACTCCTTGTCCAGTAAACTCTTTCCATTTCACAATTTCAGTGTGATAATTTAGAGAATATAAGACACCTAGGCTAAATGTTTCTTTATTAATACTGACTGGGCTGAGATTTATACAGGGGCATATATGGTAGAAGATATTCTGAAGTTTCTTAGTTGGCTTTAACAACAGTGGTGAACATTATACTTCAAAATTAGGGCATACATTTTGATGATTTTCCAGTTTAAGTGCGATATGCTATTCCTTTATATCATAATTATTGCTTAGAATATTAATAATGGCATATGTGAAAGGAAATACATTTTAATAGCACACCAGTAATTTATAATTTTTTTAAAAAAACTAAGTCAATAAATCTATTTAAAGTTACCAGCATATAGAGTAAACAGTTCACAAATTAACATGAACTATTTTACCATACGTTGAATTCTTAGCTTATCAGATATATTATGGATAGAAAGTATGTATTTTTCACTTATAAAACTATGTGTTAAATGTATCTAAGTGGAAGATAGTGGCTGCTAAAATGAACTACAAAGTAATTTTTCAAGGTACAGAGTGTACCCCCTTTTAATACATTAATAGTAGCATGTGTGAAAATGAACTTGTTCGGCTATTACTAGTGAGATGAAGTAATAATAATAGATAATATTTATATAGTGCTTAGTATGTGTCAGTATGTGCTTTACTCATTTATTATCATATCCTTGATCCTCACAACCATGCTGGGTTTTTTTCCCATTTTACAGATGAGGAAACTGAGTCTAACAGAGGTTAAAGTGACTTGCCCAGATTCATACATCTGGTGTCTGAGGCTAGATTTGAATTCAGGTGTTCCTGGCTTAGGCCTGGCACTCTATCCACAGCCCCATCTAGCTGCCCAATTTGGAAGACACGTGTGCTTATATATAGTATGGTGCTTATGACCACTAATTCTGAGCTTTCTGTTTTTATTATACTTCCCTTCCCCCAAATATGTTAAACTTAGCAATAGTAATGATGACAATTATCTTGTGTGCAAAGCACTTTATATATTGTTTGATCAAATAATAATTTGAAGTACACCACACCAGTGTAAATGAGTTTGCATCCCCTTCCCCCCTTAAACATAACTATGTTTATACTATGGTAGCCTTTTCTTTCCCTCTCCATCTAGTTCTGCAGCCGTGAACAAGTCTGCCATTTTCCCCAGATGGATTATGTTAATCTATTTATTCCCCTATAGCCCCACTCACCATCCCAAAATTTCATTTTTTAAATTAAAAAAAAATTGAACTTGGACATATCTTCTCAAGAGCATTTTCATGTTCAAAGCAAAACACAAAAAGAAGTTTGTATATGAAACCATTATATTCACTTCATATAACTTGCTTTAAAAAAAAACTTCCTCATCTTACTTTCAGAATTGTTTCCTTCTGTTCACTGAATTTTACAAATTTTGCAATGGTTCTTTTTTTTTTTGGCATCATGATCATTAATGCCCACCCCTAATTAAAAAACCACAAAAGGGGATGGAAAGCCCTTGTGACTTAAGAATAATGAGTGCACATAGTAGCCATGTCTAAAAAATATGTCTGCCCTTCGATTCCATCGCCTGTTTGTCAAGAGGTGAGTAATATGCTTCATCATAGGTCCCCTGAAGACATAGCTGGTCAAAGCCTTGGTCGGAATTCTTAAGTCTTTCAAAGTTGTTTTTCTTTACAGTGTTGTTGTCCATTTATAGATTGTTCTGTTTCTGTTCACTCTATCAGTCTACACTGTCATGGGTTCTCTGCAATCTCTTTGTCTTTTCTTATGGCACCATAATTTTCCATTATATTTGTATGCCATACTTTGTTCAATCATTCCCAAATGAAAGACATCTCCTTATATTTTAGTTCTTTCATTTTTCTTTTTCCTTTTAAATACCCCTTCTGCTGTTTTGCTTGTGAGTCTTCTCTCCTGTTGTCCTCCCTCTTAAGTCCTACCCACCCACTTGTTTCCCTGTTGAATTTGAAGTATTTCTGTATCAAATTGTGTGTGTGTCCACATGCATCTGGTTCAGATAAGAGAATATACAGTCTAGCTGCTTTCTAGTTCTGGGAGGCTGCTACCTTAATTGCCTATATTGATGATGGTTTTGCCAGTAGCTCTATTGGCTGTGGGCTTCTGGATAAGATATTGTCCAGTTCTGTAGTGGAAATAGTCACTGTAATTTCTAAGTGGATTTCTTGATTGTATTTGGTCTGGAGCAAATTTCATGTTTTTGATTAAGTTGATAAGTGAGAAGTAGACAATCAGCTTCTTGAAAATCGCTACTATACAGTTTCAAATGGCCTTTTAAGATTGCATTATGCTTGAGCCTTGATTAATATGAAATTTAAAAGCATAATAGATGAAGTCTACCCATTTTCAGAGAAAAAAAATTAAGTTCTGGAAATGTTTTGGATGCTAAATTAATTAAAGGAATGTTCGTTCATTGTAGCTAAATCCCAGCCTGCCTGACAAAAGCTGCTATCCAAGATGCCACATTCTCCAAAGAGGGAAGAGGGAAGGGAAAGTATTTATTTTTTCCCACTAAATAGTATTTTATTTTTCCTAATTACATGTAAAAATAGCTTCTGACATTCACTTTTATAAGATTTTGAGTTCCAAATTTTTTTCTCCCCCCCTTCCCTTGCCTCCTCCCCAAGATGGCATGCAATCTGATATAGGCTATACATGTACAATCCTATTAGATATATCTCCACATTAGTCATGTTGAGAAGGAAGATTCAGAACAAAAGGGGAAAACCACAAGAAAGAAAAGAAAGAAAAGAAAATAATGTGCTTCGGTCTACATTCAGACTCCAGTTCTTTCCTGGATATGGTTAGCATTTTCCAATACAAATCTTTCAGAATTGTCTTAGATCACTGTATTGCTAAGAAGAGCTA